TTCAGATGTCGACGCTTGATATGCTAATATCTTACTGGCAATCACTCAATGTTTGTCGTCAAAATCGATCAGTAGTTATTTCTAGAGATGATGGTGAAACTCTAATTTGTGGACGAGCCAATCAGAAGTGTTTGATAGGTTTTAAGGTCACGGTGCCGACTTCATTGCCTAATGCCGCAGCAGTATTAAAAATCACTACATGTGACGTTACTGATGTGAGTTTGTTTTCCGTATTGCAGTCCAGCAAAGAGTAAATGTACTGGATGAAGAGGAACAAGCCCCATGCAGGCTGAACCTGCAGAACAATGAATAAATCCATTTTGTATATGACTTCTCTTTTTGTATTCGAACAACGTCTTCCGATTTCTAAGTATATATATCTGTTGTGCCAGTGTTCCATGTTCTAACGTAAGTGGCACTTACCGGACTTGACTGTTATATTGTGTTGCAGATCGCTCCTGCTTCCAAGTGAACGCTAATAGTACGCGTAGCAATGGTAACGTACGGTCGTTGAATAAGACGTGTTAATTGAGCGTCTTTAACAAGTAAATCGGTGAGATTATGATCTGTGTACGAATCAATCAGGTATAAGATAATAGATCTCCGATTTTAACGAGATAACCTTCCATCCATTTGGTTAAATAGATTTCTGGCATTATAGATGATGTCAGTTCGTAATGAAAACTCTTATATATAATTTCTAATAAAAGAAAATTATGACAGTTATTGCCGACTGGATAATAGAAGCACCAGAAACGCTGACCGCAGTCATGTGCTACGATATGTACGGATGATTGAAGAGCGTACAGACTCCTACATAGACTTGGTTATGTGCACGAACGGCATTTTGCGTAATCAACAATCGAAGTGCACATGAACAATATTAAAGCTACGTGGTCGAGGCTGAAAGAGTGTTTGAGACACTGTTATGGCTCTAGAGTTCTGCTATTCTGTAGCCATATGGATGATTTGCTCTACTGCATGTATTACAATTTTAGAACCTTTAAACCTCTCTTTAACCTTGACAAGGTTTTAAACCACGTATAAGAAGTGTATCCATTTTGTTTCTATGGTTTTGTATAATATATTTTTACTCTATACTGACTGTTTGCTTATTAACTAATATTTCTCAAGGTCTCTTAAGGTTTGTTCAAAGGTCGTCCATAAAATATAATCTCGCCAAAATAATTCTTGAGAATTTTGTATTGCATAAAAAATATGATGTTGGATAATGGTGATAATAAATAAATGAATATATTATTGAAATTCCACTGATTTTTGAATTTGTTGAAGTTGACTGCTTGAACTTTATAATTTAGTTTTGTGATATGTCATGCCTAAACTACTTGTCTTCATGAAAGTTTAGGACGTTTTTGAATCTATGAAGAGAAGAATTTTCTGTAGTTTATCCCTACTCTTAGCAAAATTTGGTGATTTTGATAGGCAAAACTTTGTGCTTCTAAACGTTATGGCAGCTTCTATGGCCAAAGTTAAAATACTTTTTCTTCAAAATGCACATGACGTCGCAATAATAACACATGTGTGTATATTTAACTCTCATTATAAATCAGAAACCATACTCACGTTATTGGATTCTGTCAACAGTTTAAGACAAATCAACATTAAATGTCAGTGTGAATACTTTATTTTGTCAGTACTTCCGTTGGAAGAAATGTCAACGTACTTAAAGAGAAGAAAATACAATGAAATGAAATATCACCAGCAGCCGAATCAGAATCAGTGAACAAAAAATAACAAAAGAATCCTTCTACTCAACAATTACAACAAGTTAATTCATTCGTACAACAGTCATGGCATGATGTAAATTAATTGCCAAAACATTAACTATAAGAATAAATGTCTGAACACATTAGGCGAAACGGCATCGTAATAACTACGATCACCAACCGACCTCCTCAAATTCGTTTCTTGTATACCCAGAGTGAAAAAAACTTCGAGACTAATTGAATTTTCATTAACTACACAATCCATTCGAGATTTTCATTCATGCAACGATGATACACCCAACACATTACAACCATACTGAAGTACATCCTTGTCATCTGCATCTCCGTCGGAAAAGTAATGTAACGGAAGAATTAAGAACTTCTTCAGCAGATAACATGCACTGTGGTTTAACGCCATTATCACTGCCCTCATCCCGTTCTGAGCTTAAATCTCGATCTACGTATTTCATTCTACCTTACATATCACGTGCCTCAGCTAACAGTGAGCGCTTTTAACCAGATCTATCAGTATCTTAGCCCTTCTCCTGCCAACATTTTCAACTGAAATGTCAACTATTCAGGCAGACAATGCACAATCTCATGAATTCTACGCAATTCAATCCCTGAGTTTTAACAAGTCCTTCGACGATTTTGCGCAGGTTTAAGTAGTGATCTCGTGAAAATAGTAAACGCTCACATTCTCGGTTCATGCAGTCACCATTTTGAATTGTGTCAAATCGTTCTCGTGATGAAGGTTCATCTAATACTGAAGATGCCTGGTGTAATATCCATACAAGACGACGCAAGGACTGGTTCTACCAATTCCACGATATCCAGGAACTTAAATTTCATGCCGCATTCTTCTCTGAAACAACTCAACTTGGCCCACTGTCTCTGCAATCGTGAAGGTGAGTGACTAGATACTATCTTCAACAATAACGTGATATTTTTTTACATCCTTCATACTCGTAGACGATAGTGTTTTATTGCAAACCAAAAAACCATCCAGACATAAACAATTTATTAAGTTGTTTGATTTCATGTTTTTGCATGGGACTGATTACGATAGAAAATCGTGAAAGCACTTTGTCATGTCACCATACTCGGTTGCGTCTTTGCTCATCATGACTCGACGTATTGTTTGCATAGTTACAACGCACTATGAAGTTTAGAGTTACTCGTTTGTCTCTCCACACATTTTTCCTGTTAAGACAATTTCATACTAGCATCTCTGACTAACGATGAAAGCATGCAGTATTACGAGGTTTATTGGAATTTTCCTCATATAACAGCTCAATACAGACAGTCAGGTACCATATTATCGAATAAATGATCAAAAGAATCCTCTTCCATACATAGATCATGTGCAAGTCCATTGATAACAATAAATCTGGCTAAGCACAATGAGTTTGAAATTGTTTGCTCATTTCTGATTTCGAACAATTTTGAAATCTGAACATCATGTTCACCATGATTCAGTAAAATTTCATGTTTATTCATCGATATATAGTCGTTTAGTTTGGCTATCATTTCTTTTATAATTGCTTTGCACATGTCGACTGAGTATAATTGATTTTTGTTAGTTCATGTGAACTGAAGTTGTGCGCTAATGACACTCAGATTTCCTGAACTAGTATTTCATCCAATATCAGGTTTGTTTTCAAACACCATTCTTGTAAAATTATGCCATCACACCTACCATAAATAAACACGAAGAACAAAATGAAATGAATGTACTTGAACAAAACAGATTTTCGCAATTGCCTTCGAAAACTGTAAGTGGACTAAATAACTGGCACAAAATTGAATGAGGAAACCAACAAACGAATGATTGCCTAGAAAATTGTTTTTCCGGTGTCTCAATAAATAAATCAACAAAGTCTTTCAAATCAATTCATGCAATTCGAATACATTAAGGACGAAAAACAGAGGCAAAGTTAAGTTACAAGAATAAAATAATGAACTGCAGGGAACATTACAACGAAAAAATGACTCTCTCGTAGTCTTTGTCTGTATGAACTTGAAATAACTTTCAAGCGCCACGATTAATATGAGCTCATGCCAGTGAAAGTTGACTGAAATTGACACTTATTCAAGTTGATAAAAGTTGATATTTGAAAAAAAACATAAACAAGAATGATTATCGGATTTTCAGAAATCTGGCAATGAGACCAATTAGCAGTCACTGAAAATATTGACATTGGTACAATTTGTCAAACAGAAGCGTCATGGGAAAAAGATGACATTGAAGAGGGAGGCAATAAAAAGTTACGGTTAACGACAAACAATGAGTGTCGAGTTCTAAAAATACTGTATGCTACCAATAAGCGAATAAATTTTCTTTGCCTACTTATATGTGGAATTAAAAGGTGGTTGATGTTGTCCCGACGACCAACCAAAACCATCCATCTCAAGTAGTGTCAGACTAACAAAATCAATCACTGATTAGTAAATTATTTGTCAAAGTTACGACACGTGTGTAGTTGGAAAATGCAATCGTGGAACAATTAATTTCAGTCAATTTGATTTGTTGTATTATTAAGTAAAATCATAATATGCTTAGGTGTCTGTTTGCATTTTAAACAAATATTTTCATTCCAAAAACTTAAACCAACAAGTGAACATTTATTTAACAGAACATTCAATATTAGATAGCAGAATAGTTTATATTGACCTTTAAAATATTTCACATTGTCAATGTCTCGGTCGGAGTTTTAGCACTGCTGTAATTACAATCAAAGAGTGAATTCAAAGAAAATTGTAAAGTGATGTTAAGCACGAAATATTCATAAATCCATATGAAAATAATGAAGAATTCAGAAAACTGTTCTTGTTCACGGTATTTCTCCAGATAATATGTTGTGAATATAATCACCTGTATTTATGAAAACGTAGGTGGTTACATTATTATTGATGCATTCATATCAACATATGTGTCAGTGAAATAAAAAAACATTTAAAGTTATAAGGTTATCAACTTAGTAGTTTCTGAACATTCATACATAACAAATAAACAGTAAGTGTCTTGTATTTTTACAGATGATCGTTTGAATATTTGAGCATCATAGAAATTGAGTCATTTCTTTCAGCCATTCAGCTTTGCATTTCGTTATGTTTTTCTTCGAAATGTTTTATGATAAATTCTTGTATATGTTGTGGACAGAAAACGTTGATGCATCAAAGTTCTAATTTCTATAAAACGCTATTTTTGGATGAATAAAAATCAGTGAACGGTTATTTGCATAAACATTTAATTAATTATTAGGAACTTACGATAAACATAACGCAATAACAAAAAATCCAGGCTGCACCTTGTAAAACATGCTAAAATGAAGAAAAGAAAAGAATTCATTTCATCATGAATCTATTTACGTATCAGCGTAGAAAGAGTATTACTCAGCTGGTTAACTCTACCGATTCTAAAGTGATATGTGTCACTTCACGTAAGGGTTGATCAGTTCCTTATTTTGAATTTCGACACCATGTAAACATTCTGTTTCGTGCTTCACAATAGTCAAGACAGCGAATTAGTTTCGTCAAGCACTGTATCATAATGCGTTCAAGCTACCGATTTCACGTATGCGAAATTGTTGCATGGGGATGTATTGTTCTGTTTTTCTTGTAATTGACATTCATGTCTGATTCAAGTGCGTTCCTGAAAAGTAAATAACCTTCCTTTGTTCATGTCAGATGAGAGATATCGTGGTTGCTGGCAATATGCAGAGAATAGAATGTACATTATTTAGATGTCGATTGACCGGATTGCCAACGTCTGACTGGTAATTACGCACGTCATTTAAAAGGACAGTGATATTTTTCCATCCCTCAATAAATTGCATAAAGGTATCTTTTGTGTTTCTAAAGTAGATTATCGTCAGTGCTTTGAGCACTTTGTTGTTAATACTTTTGGTTCTAATAATCTACAGTTTTCCACTATTTCTGGTCATAGGTCATTTTTGTCTCTGAGAATTCCTGCATCTGGTTATCTATTTTAAAAAAGACCCTTGTTTGATGACTGGATAGTGCAAATAAAGCAATTGTCAACGTCCTGGCTGTCGGTATCCCATTGAAAGCGATATGCAGTGCGATGAGTGCAAAGACTGATATCGCAAAGCTTGCGCGAATTTAACGTCTGCGGCTTTTAAACGGTTCAGTAAAAACGGTTGCGTACGGCTATGCCAGCAGTGCTGTTCCGATGCAAACGGCTTGCTGTCCGATCCATCTCAATGGTAAATGCCGCAAAAAAGTGTTTTGGCAAGCATGGTCGGTATGCATCGGGCAGCACTCGCTCCGTCAACATCCAGATTGGTGTGAAGCAAACTAAGGTGAGTTTGGAAACATCTGACTCACACCGAGTAAACGCAGAAAGACAGTGTTCAAAGAGCTCTGCCATAAATAAAAACTCAAGAAAAGTAGTTTATTCTGCTTCCCTTCTTCTGAATGCCATCCAACAGGAAACGCCTAGAAGCCGCAGTCGCAAGCTTTGATCGGTTTCTAGCGGGAAGCACTATCGAACATCCCGAGTCGTAGACAACCTTCCTGAGTCTCACAGTAAGTTAGACGCAAATGTGGTTGTTACTCCAACCAAAGTTGACGAATGTGTACAGGAAGAAACGGCATAACGAAATTAAAGAAAATCCTACTCACACAAATTTATTCGAGAAACTGAAGACCGATCAGAGTGACAGATAAGTTATCTTTCATAGAATCAAAGACAGTGATAGCTCTGAACCTAAGACTCGTTTCGAGTATAAAATTTCGCTGATTAAACAGTTACTTCGTCAATTCATGCCTCAAAATATCTCTGGAGTCACGTTGCTAAAGATTTATTGACTAGACAGTCAAGAGAACTTGAAATCTAATCAAACCAGACCGGTCAAAACAGTATTCAAATATCCGAATGAATGCGACTTAATTTTACAGAATGGACATAAATTAAAGAGTTCAGGAGATTTTGCCCGTAAAGACGTGCTGACTGACAGTGTGAAATGACGGGAAACCGAGAAAGAACTACAGCCTGGGTCAGGAGTTGGCGAAAAGGACCTAAAAATGGAAAGGTTTAGGGTTGTAAGGCTTTGACAGAGAATGATGCCGAAGCCACTCTGAGTGAAGCACAAAGTCATTTAAATAGGCTTTGAGTCTGTTAAACTAATGCTCAAAGCTTGCTTGATGAGCGGTCGGAACTAGGTGTACAAATTGACTCAATGAATTCAGACATAATCGCAATTACATAAACTTGGCTGACGCAGCCTATGGATAGTATGAAACTTGATTTTGAGTATTTTTCGTCAGTAAGGGCCGAAATAATACAGAAGCGTAAAAGAGGTAGGGTAGCTCTATTCTTTAGAAGTGCTATTCTGTTAGCCATTATCTACAGTGTTTCACACGAGATGGGACGTATGAATTAGTTAGTTGTCACTTGAAATGCAAGGGACAAGAGCCGCCGACTGGTTTGCTTTATCGCAGTCCAAGATGTGAGATAAATGAGGTCCTGTCAAGCAGTTTCAATACTTGGTCACAAAGTGATCGATGTCTAAACCTAGAGGACTTTAATGCACTCATGATAGACTAGGAAAATCCGCGGACTGAATTATCAGGTAAATTTTTTCTAGCAGGAACTAGTTTATACGGTTATCACATGTGCCCTGGTGCAACATGTGAAAGAAGCGTCTAGGTACGACCCTGATTTTAAATAATCCTTACTAGATCTTATAATAACTCACAATGAGGATGGCGTTGCAAACGTCGATTATATGTCACTGTGGTGGTCGGTATCCGATATAATCCTTAACTTCGCATAGAATTCGTCTTGCTAACCGTTCTGTATAACGCCCCAACGGTATAATAATCAGAAGGCAATATACGAAGTGTTGACTACGTTTATTGCGAGATCACCCACATATATCCAAACGTACAGATGCGTTAAACAAGCATAAAGGAGTTGTGCCGAAAGGCAAGCAAGCGAGCGAGGGCCAGAGCAAGAACGTGACGAGAGCGTGTGAGTGAGTAAATAACATGGACATATATATACCATGTGAAATGAATGAGTAATCGAACCGAATAAGCGGTTAGTAGTAAGACTAGCAGAGTGAATAAATGCGTAGGCAGTAAACAATATTCAAGCATACGTATTTGATACAAACATAAAATAATAAGGGTACAATAAATTGTTATAGTGCGGATGGCTTCGTCCGCTAAATAAGTTAGCAAAAGGGCTTAACTGAGTTAAATGAGAATAAACCAATTTGCACGTGAGTCGCTATATCACCATAGATAAAAGTGATCATGCAGTTCTAGCTTTTGACTTCCATTTTACTGTCAATCAGGAGCACGCGTTAGCTAAATAATACCTTATTTCTGGAAAGCAAACATACCAGATATCTTGCACTAAGCATCGTCAGTAGGTTGGATAATGGACGTAGAAAGCCCAATTGAAACAGCCCAGGACGCATTTTGAATCTCATACTTTAAAGTTACCACGCACCACATACTTTGAACTACACCAAATATTCCGCGAAAATGTTCACCATGGTTCGGTAGGGGGGTTTGCGTCCTTTTCCGTAAGAGAAGAAGGGGTTATTTAGCACTGGTGAGTCAATAGTTTGAATACGATAAACCTCTCCGTAAGTCTAGAAATTCGTACGAACGAAAAATTGTTGAGGAGTACATAGAATGTCCTTAACGGTTGTATTCGTATATAAACCAAAGGAATAAAAGAAAGGGAAATATTCTAGCATTATGGGGAGACAGTACTGCTTCATCAATAGTGGAGGACGACTATAGTAAAGCTCAAGTATTCTCAAACTACATTAGCAGTATATATAACATGGAAACACTCTTTTCGTTAGTACATGCAAATCCCCCCTCACAAACATTGGACTGCGTGACTAATAAAGAATTCGATGTCTTTGGTCTGCTCAATAAGCTGGACATAGGCAAATCCATGGGACTCGATGAACTGCATTCTAGGTTACTAAAAGAATTATCTTACTTCATTGCAAACTTTTTAAGTATATATTCTAATCTATACGTAACTCGAGGTCGTTTAGTTAAAGACTGGTAGAACGCCGTAGTAAGCCCTGTCTTTAAAACAGGTGTGCAACATAAGCGTGAGAATTACCGACCCGTTTACCTAACTAGTGTGGTTAGTAAAATCCTATAAAAGGTTATTGGAAAGGAGCTTCTTAAGCACCTTTATGAAAACCAGATCCTTTTGGAAAAGCAGCATTGTTATAGAATAGGTTATTCTTGTTTCACTAACTTATTAGTCGCTCGTAAAAGCTGGTGTGCCCTCATGAACCAAAAGTTACCTGTAGACGTAGCGTACGTTGACTTTAGTAAAGCTTTTGACAAAGTCTAGCATAACCGGCTGTTATGCAAGCTAAGAAATGTCGAAGTTAGAGACAATATATTGATGTGGATAAAAGACTTCCTAGTTAGGCGCCAGCAAAGGGTATGGGTGAACTTAGAGTTATCTAGGTGGGAAACTGTGCTTACTGGAATGACTCAGGGTACAGTTTTGGATTAATGCTATTACTCCTAAATGTAAATGGTCTTCTTTGTCTACTGTCATCATCGGTCTTGCTATATGCTGACGATATCAAGATATGGAGAGTGATACGAAATAAGAGTGATAGCCTAGAACTTCAAAACGACCTAGAGAAATTATCTGAATGATCACAAACCTGGCAGTTGCCAATAAATACTTCCACGTTAATCGTGATGCACATCGGTCATCAAGGTACAGAAACATACATGATGGGTAACACTGAGCTACCTGTTATCGAGACACACAATGACTTAGCAGTAATTGTTAGCCAAAACTTAAAGGCTGCTGCACACTACCGTGAAATAGCTGCCAAAGGCTTTAAAACTTTACGCAGAACCCTTAGTCATGTTGACGCTAAAATGTTTTTGACTTTGTATACAGTGTTCGTGCGTCCTAAACTTGAGTACTGCATGCAGGTGGCTATCCCCTTCTTAAAAAAGACAAAATGATTTTGAAATGTTTCAAAGAACAGCATCTTAGCTGATCTCCGGAGAAGCGAAGCTCACGTATGATGCTCGACTGGCAAAGCTCAACCTATTCACGCTGTCATATCGAAGAACTAGAGACGACTAGATTACAGTTTTCAAAGTGTTTAGTGAAAAATTCGTACCTGATATAGCCTCATTTTTCTTGTCTTTAAAGGCATAAAATTTACGAGGACACTCCAAAACAGTTCACAAGACGAGTACGAATTACATGTCAGCTAACTATCGACTTTCTGGTCGGATCACCAATATGTGTGATTCATTACCTCAGCACGAGGTTGAGGCTCCATCCATCGACACTTTCAAAAGGAATTTGGATCAACTGACAAACCATCATTGCTAAGACCAACACAAGCCATAAAGCCTCCTATTCTTTTCAAACTGAAACAAAATGTTTATCGTGAGGATCGACCAAGAATAAAAAAAACCGAAATTTGTGAAAATCTATGAATAAATCAACTTACCATACTTAATATCACCCCTAGCACAAGGAGAATGAATCCAGTTACCGCTAATACACAACATATAGTAAACAAGTGTATCCTACATTTTCTTTTTGAATCTCGTAACTTTTCACCCAACACAATTGCAAAGATGGCAAACCCTATAGCCGCAGGTACAGAAATAAGTATTTCATACCAGTATGTATGTGAAATTAGCAATGCAAAACCAACATTCATAATTATTATCTGAATAAGGAAAAGTAGATCCAAATTATCATTAGTTCAGAAAAATACTTAAAGAATATTCTTCACTGTCCTGCATTCGATTGAAGTGCTTAAAAATGAATATTTATGGATAAAATCACATAACAAGGAATCCCCATCCAAGTCTGTCATAATGACGAACTTGAAATATTTTCAAGGCTATTCCGCTCATCCAGAACGCATGCAAATCGTACCAACTTGGGTAAACCAAAAACTACAACAAGTGGTGATGTCTGTGACATGACGCACTAAATGATGACTTGTGTATCACAAGTTAAAATATAAATAAAGTGTGTCAATGATTATACAAATTAAAGTGACAGAAATCCAATTATTTTGGTTGTTTTCTGTTTACGACCCATTCCACATGTTACAAATGCTTATAACAACGAACGTAGATGAGAGTAAAATGTACCGGCATTATAATAACTTATATTAATTTCGACAGTTATCAGCTGAGGAATGGCTCATGATTCAACCGGTTCACTAATGATCTGAGTTACGTACGTCGAACATTTTATGAAATCAATGAATCTGAATCTCTAGACACAATGAAATATCAAAATACAACACCCAAATTCACTTGTTTAAGTCACCATTCAAGGATACTTTATCTCGAACGCCGTTGTCAAACTAACATGACAACATTTTACTATTCAACAAACAAAATAACTAAGTAAACTCAATCGATGGTTGAATGAAAATATCATGAATGTAATATTTAAACCACATTCAACTGACGGTTATAACCATGAAGAAACTGTTCTTTGTAGATGTAGAATGTAGTTTTCTGACGATTATTATTATTAATCCAAGAACTAATCCGATCACTCTGAAATAAAAAAAGAGAGAAATGTGCAACATACTAAACTCAAAGATACGATGGAGCATAGTGATGTGCATCAAACGTTCTACATAATCTGTATACATGAAATGGTTGAACACATTCCTCAACTCCTCAGTTCAACATTTTTAAAAGCTTGTAATCCTTTTCGAAATAATCGATGAGTGGAATACGTAATGAGTGTTTGTTTTGAATATCTCATTTCATTTCTTTGAATATGCCCATTTGTTTTATTATGATATACCACAATATGAAAATAATTTGTACTAGGAAGAACTGAACTATATTAATCATAATATAATCATAATAATCATAATATATTAATCATACTAATCATAACATGGATCACATTTCTTACAAAGTGTATTATTCAGATCACTGAATGATACGTAATATTAATACTTATTAAAATTGTAGTTATGATTTACGGTGAATACTTGTATTCAAATTTACTTACATTAATATAACAGCACTGAGAACAACTGCTTCTGCATACGGAGTAAAGCTGAATCTATCAAATAGAATGATAAAAGTCTTACATGCAAAGAAAATTATTCTGACTAGTTACTGCTGACACATCATCAAATATGATTTTCATCATCATCGTTGAACTATCTGCAATCAAGATTTGTGAACCATTCTCCTTTGAAAATTCACCTTGTACAATCACCAATTCCAACTTTAACTAAAATAAGTAAGAATTCACAATACAGTAATGGAGATAATCAATTTCATGGACTACATAAACCCTTACATATTCATTCACATGCCTATTTCTTTCCGTTTTCATTGCATTTCAACAAGTCTGGATTGATGGACAGAATTGGAATTTCATCTGACTAGTTCGCTTTATTATCTTTAATAAGGTAATAATAAAGTTTAAACGTGGCTAAAATTTGATTTCATTAGATTCATGTTAGCTGCTCATTGCGTACAGTGACTTCAAGTCATTACCGTTATTGCACTAAATCCAGTGAATATAATTAACATTGACGAATTCATTCATCCAGAAAAGTAATTCTAAATAGAAGTATGTTGTTATTTTCGTTAAGATAGTTCTTTCACTTTGACATATTTGTGTTTGAAAAGTGAATTTCATGCAATCAAAGCATGACTGCCCTCCCATCTTCTATGAAAAACGTTTTGTTAAGTATTCTGATGATCCCATTGTGTGAATAGGGATTGAGGATTTCTATTTCTTTATAGTCTCTTGAAATGAGTGAGCTTTTGTATTTCAGTGAATGACGGTTTGATTTTAATGGTCTCGTACCTAATCCTATTAAATAACAAATTACAAAATCTAGTATGAAACACGAATCACACTCAAGCACCACGTTTTAATACCATGAATTTTGTACTAGTGGATATTCCGTAATGAAAATGGTATCAAACGTCACGTATCGTTTAAGATTCTCTTTTAATTTTTCTTCATCTTCTCTTTTGCTATTAAAATGAAGGGAAATTCTGTGTTCGACCTTTTATGCAGAGAAACCAAATACTTTTGCATTTCTCGACATTAACATTGATGATATGTTGATTTTTGTAAATAACCTGCTACTCCATAACGTTCTACACTATTCTTCTCAATGATTTTCAGGAAGGATTATATCGCATTATGGAGAGTACTGAAAACAGTGTGTAGGGTGTGTGATGAATTTTTTGAGATCATTACAAACATGATTGTGGATAGACATTAAAAGCCTTACAAAATGCTGACAAGTGATATCCTACCAAATATTTACCATCAACTTTATTCATTTCTTCCACCTTCAACATACTCCAGAATAAGGGGGTACCAAAACATGGGAATCTATAAGAATCTCTGGTGTCTGTAATAGAAACTCGTCGGAATCATTTGTGCTTAGAGTTCTATATAGTATTTAGCCTATAACATCGAAAGAAGTCATTGCCATTGGTACTTATAATGCAACTTTTCAACAGATCAAAACACAAGCTCTATTCATACCATTCGATAGAAATTAACAAACTCACATGGAATGATTCTGATGTTCATTAAAACTGATTCAATAAAATTACACAAATTTACAACAAAATTCACCAATGGCTTTGACTCAACCCTATTAACTTTCGAGTGGTTATTTTTGCATTGAACTTTGGTTGAGCTGTTTTTGTAATGAACAACAGGATAAGTGATTCGATTAGAAATAAAGCAAATTCTTTTAAGTTTTAGTTCGTTGTGAACAAATACGTGATAGCACATTGAAGAAGAGGAATGATCTTGTTTATCCAATTAGCTCAGTGAATAGATGAAGTTTCTACAGAGTACTGACAGCAGATGGAACACAAAATGTTAACTTGTTCATTCCGTTGACTATATACACATGTTGTGTATCATGTGTTGGGCATTTATATAGGGATAACATCTTAAAAAATTAATCAACAAATAGAAAACTATTTTTACACCTATTATCAGTGACACACTTATATACCTTTGCCGAATCGTCAAGAATGATTTCTATGGAGAAAAGAATGTTGGTTAAGTTGATGAATGTCAATCAAAACCATCCTGTATATATATAAAATCATACAAATCCGGGTTTATGGTCACTGGTGTTCCATATCTGTCAATCTCAGTGAGTTATTTTAATCTCATCATCTACTCTGCAAAGCTTTATATTAATAAGATGTATTTTGACCTGCATGACTTGTCGTGTTCTTATCCATGAACAGAGAATGACTGGACAATACTACACCGATGCTGTTGTTATTTGAAAAGAGGTAGTAGCTAGATGAAATAAGGAATTCCTCATTAACCTACTAACATCAGTTGTAGGGAGCACATCACTGCAAAAACCGTCTAATGCATATTGGATAGGATGATTAACGCCTGAGTAAGTCGACCAACTACAACGTAGGACGAAGCACATGTATACATCGGTCCAAGTTGTCATAAATCATAACCACAAGAAGATGAACCCCGGATTCATAGAAGCAGTTAATTCGATGGTGGTAACATATAAAACAAAGATTGTATATAAGGATCTGGTGCAGGAAGAAATAATTAGTACGTAGAAAGAAATGTATAAAGTCATGGTTTAAAGAAGACAGATAGTGTATACACTTACGTTAATATGATCGATCCTGAGACATGTCCCTCGGAGTGTCCAACCATTGGTTAAGATAATCACGTGAATCCAAAAAAGTAGTCCTCCAGTGTTTAACATCACTATTACTTCGCCGGTAATCTCAGCAGATGCCTAAGACATCTGTGGTCAAATACTACAAAATTATGAGTATCTCTTACTCCTAATGGCCACGTTTTGCAGTCACAAAAAACAGATCGAACTGCCTCACAGTATACTCGTCCTTTAATTGATAGACTGATATCTCGCCTTCACCATAGGTGACGTAAGTTGGCAAAAGCCAAACGAGCTTTTCGAATCCATGCTGAGATTTCGTCAGACACCGACCCATTAGGGCTGAGCAGAATTCCAAGGTAAGTGAAGTTGTCAACGCGTTCGACTGCTTCACTACTTATCCTCAGTTCACGTGTTGACGCAGGCCAGTCCTGAAGTAACAAGTTGCATTTACAGAGAAAGAAGCGCATTCCAAACATTCTGGCATTGTTGCTCAGTGCTACCAGAAGACTCTACATTTTATCAGTCTCTTCACTAAGCAGAACTATAGCATCTGTGTATTCTAAGTCGATAAGTAGACCTCGAGGAAGGAGATCAATACACGAGAATTCTGTAGACGAGAATGTTATTTCCTTCAAAAGGTCTATGATGTAGTTAAACAAAAATGGAGAAAGTGGACAGCCTTGAAGGACACCACTTGAGGTTGCAAAAGCAGATGACAGTTCGTCACATGCTCTGACTCGATTTGTAGTGTTCGAGTGAAGAGCCATTCACATGGTTTATGTACTTCTGAGGTACGCGTTTCAATGATAGACACTGGATTCTATAAGCATCGGTCGTGCGCAAACGAGATCAGGAAACTGCGAATCATTATTGAGCAATCAATGGAAAGTAACTCGGTACCATGCATCAACTTCCTTTACTATGAGAAAGCATTTGGCAGTGTGGGTAGGAGCAGCTTATGGAATCGTCTTCTACGCCATGATATAACTGAAAAAATCTTCAACATCATGTGGAATTCATGTGATGAAAACAAATAAACTACTACTTGAAAAGAAAATTAAGAAGAGACATTAGAAGCAGATAGTATATGCATTGTGAAGATTATCGAACTCCATCACAAGCAATTCCCTTTCCTGGAACCCTGAAAGGTTGGAGGAATAAAGAAAGATAAGAGAACAAATAATATGTCACGAATCTGAGACGGATATCAAAAGAATGAATGGAGTTTGAAAAGAGTTGTAGGGAGAACACATGACAGATTTGTTTTGAATATCTTATTCTACAGAATATCATGCTACTAGGAGTGGGGTATTAGGCGTGAGAAAGCTGTGAGCCAACATGTTGAATTAAAAACAGTCATAACCAGTAATCCTTTCGCTTTTAAACCGTCCACACAGTTGCTCTGATTAATAATCCATGAGAATCATGATTGACATCTCGGAAGTGATGTGTCAGTTCACTGCATTGAATCATCACAGTATGATAACCCTCAATCATATGTCCAAATATCAAGAAACCATGATAAAACAAAAATTTGAAACAGTTTACAACTATAAGATTCTATCATGTTCACACTTTTGCAACTTTTATAAATGGTAATAGTTTTCGTTAACTTTGTTCATGGATATGAAACACAAAGTCCATTGACAACACAAAACATCAATATTGATTTCAAATGGATTATAAATTGACAATAGAATTTTACTTGATTTATGAATGATCAAACACTTGAAACTTTGTGAAGACCGAAAACAAAAAATAAAAAAATAACAATATTGACGATTTTGTTGTGTTTGTGTTTGTGTGAACAAAGACTTCAGTGGAGTTAAGACATAAATGAGTTAGAATGCGACGAACATCCATTCGTCATTGTACTTTATTTTGGAGTAGGAAGGAGAGGAAATTTACACTTGTAATATCGATTTCCAATTAAATCTTCCAATATTGAATACCAATTCAGTGTAATCAGTTGAAAACGACAAAAAAATTGTCATTTCAACTCATTTTAAATATCCGTCAGAATAAGTATTATCACAGTTTTAATCTGTTTACGTATTGGTCATAGTTATATATATACACTGTTTTTATTGATATCGTTTCCCATGGACTAAATGTAATGCACAATTATATACACATAACGCATTCTGGCTTTCAGACAAGCCAATTTGTTTTCTCTTCTTGAGTAATATTATGACAGTGCCAACTGATCACTCATCATTCTTGTCTGTGTTTAGATGAAGTTATGTGCCTGCATTGCTTATTTTACTCACCACTCCTCTATAGCTTACTTTTATCTGACTACAAATACAGATAAACGCTTGATTAATCAATTGAATGTCGTAGACAGATGAATTGGTCATAGGAATAACATAAATTGTATCGGTTCTATTACATACACACAAGTAAGTATGAAATGGTTTCCATAACTGAGGATTTCAAGCTGTTTTCATTCTTGTATTTGAACAAATTGATTGTTTAGGAAAGTGTATTTTGTTATCTTAAGGATTCGGAACTCATTTAGTCAGTCAGGAGTTCGAAGCACTGTTGTGTAGTCAG